AAGAGAAATGACAACAAAACCAATTGGATTATATGTAGAGAAAGAGAGAAAAAGGGGGAGGGATGGAGAGAGAATCAGAAATGCGTGCTGGAATGTGCAAATGAGGATCGCAGGCGGCGTCGGCCAATCGCAGAGCCTTTCAAGCTCAAATCCACTGCTGATTTATTAATGCGCGCACACACACCCTCTCTCCTCTATTGGAATTTTTAAGGGCACAAGTTGTAGGCTGTTGGGAGTTCTTAACTCCCAAAAATGAAATATTTATGGAGCTGCATAGAAAGAGAAGAAAATAATTGTAACTAGGTACAATCCTTGAAAAGGGTTGTGGGAACCTAACTTTTTTTTTTTAATTTTTAATCATTTGTAATAAAAATTTAATTTTTTTACTTTCATAGTATGTCATTAGAGAAAAAACAAGGAACTTTATACATATATATATATATATATATATATATGCTCCAAAATACTTTTTTTCAACCAAAACAACTCATAATCTCTTATATTGATAAATTATTTTGTGAAATTTATACTCTATCTCTTATTGTGGGGTAGTTGTCATCAATATCATTGATGGTCTCGACCACACCCTCTCCTTCTAGCTTACTCACAAATATTTGCGTTGTAATCCAAACATTCTAGCTCTAGCGACAATCTAGACATTCAGGCTTCATTTGAAGTTCGGTGAAATTCCTTCAAAAATCGCTTAGCGAAACGGAGCAAGTCATCTCCATTACGAAAATGCTTTGTCACTAAACATAATTTTTTCCAGGCGACGGTGTTCTTGCGATCGAACGGAAGTACAACGCATTCTCAAACAAAGCATTAGCCATTTTATGACTTTCTTTAATCGAATGACTCCCCCAACAAGATTATTGAATAAGGAAATTTAGCAACCACTTCATTGGAGTGCTTGTCTAAGATTGTTGTGGAAGCTTCAAAAAGCATGGCAAGAATGCAAACAATGCTGTGGTCGCTTCTATAATGATGGTCAAGGAGTTACAGTGTCTAATGTATTGTCGTGGTTTCAACGAGTAGTTTGTGAATGGAGGTTTTCCCTCACAAGGGGTATTTTAGACCCTATAGCATTTACGAGCATGTTAGCTCAGATAAAATTAGAGGTATTTACATACATAACACCCAAACCAAACATTAATTATTACATTGTAAGCACCTTTTTCTATGTATGAAAGGGTAAAAATAGTTTAATCCAATTGGAATACATTTAATGTTCATTTTTATATTTTTAATTGATGTAGAGTGGTTAATTATTCATTTATACTTACTTCAATTATGATAAGTAGATATATAGTTGTTAATTGAATAATATTCATTAATATAATCTTAATATAGAATTACAATTTGATTAAGGTTTTAAATAAGACAATTAAATTTAATAATATGTTAATAAAGTAATTAACCCTTTGCTAGTAATTATGAAACAATGGACAATGTAGTAACTGAGGAGTGTTTAGGATTTAACTAAGATCAAGTAGATTTTAAATATTAAATAATGACAATTGAGCACTACATAATGAATCAAATTAATTGGTAATTAATAAGTTATGTGAGATGATTATGGATTATTTAAAGTTTTATTATTCTAGCTCTAGCGACAATCTAGACATTCAGGCTTCGTTTGAAGTTCGGTGAAATTCCTTAAAAAATCGCGTAGCGAAACGGAGCAAGTCATCTCCATTACAAAAATGCTTTGTCACTAAACATATTTTTTTCCAGGCGACGGTGTTCTTGCGATCGAACGGAAGTACAACGCGTTCTCAAACAAAGCATCAGCCATTTTTTGACTTTCTTTAATCGAATGCCTCCCTCAACAAAATTATTGAATAAGTTGGAGAAATTTAGCAACCACTTCATTGGAGTGCTTGTCTAAGATTGTTGTGGAAGCTTCAAAAAGCATGGCAAGAATGCAAACAATGCTGTGGTCGCTTCTATAATGATGGTCAAGGAGTTACAGTGTCTAATGTATTGTCGTGGCTTCAACAAGTAGTTCGTGAACGGAGGTTTTCCCTCACAAGGGCTATTTTAGACCCTATAGAATTTACGAACATGTTAGCTCAGATAAAATTAGAGGAGTTTACATACATAACACCCAAACCAAACATTGATTTTTACATTGTAAGCACCTTTTTCTATGTATGAAAGGGTAAAAATAGTTTAATCCAATTGGAATACATTTAATGTTCATTTTTATATTTTTAATTGATGTAGAGTGGTTAATTATTCATTTATACTTACTTCAATTATGATAAGTAGATATATAGTTGTTAATTGAATAATATTCATTAATATAATCTTAATATAGAATTACAATTTGATTAAGGTTTTAAATAAGACAATTAAATTTAATAATATGTTAATAAAGTAATTAACCCTTTGCTAATAATTATGAAACAATGGACAATGTAGCTACTGAGGAGTGTTTAGGATTTAACTAAGATCATGTCGATTTTAAATATGAAATAATGAAAATTGAGCACTACATAATGAATCAAATTAATTGGTAATGAATGAGTTATGTAAGATGATTATGGATTAATTAAAGTTTTATTGGGCTTAATAATATTTTAGTAGTAAAAAATATTGGTTCTTTTTTTTTAAATTGTAATTAAGAACTATATATTATTTTATTAAGAATGTTGAAATTTTAGTAATGTTTATATTTTAAGGCTAGTATAATTAAAGATTAATTAATTATAATATTGAAAAAATTAAATATACTAATTAACCTAATAAGTGATTAATCAAAAATTTTTGTGAAACTTTTAAATAATTGAGACTTAAACTAATATTTTATTTTGATTTTTAGTATTAGCTGATTAATCATCCATTAAATAGAGTTAATTATGTGGTTATATATATATATATATATATAAGGGAATTTATCAAACTGTTAGATTTAGTTCTACTATTTATATATTGTCTATTTTACTTTATTGCAAATATAAAATGACAAGATATCAATATCTATTTATAGTTGGAGTGAATTAAAAATAAAGAAGGAACAAATGACATTAGAATATGCCCATCAAGGATTAGCATTTTTAAGGGATTTTTAGTTTGGGCGTATTAAGAGAATGGAGTCGACTGAAAAGATTTCAAAAATTCAAATTTTTAGATGAGAATGAAATGCTAATTAATTAATTAATTGAGAAATTTGAAAAAAATTACTTAGTTTAATTTCAGAGAATTAAGATTTTATCTTGATTTTATTTGAAAATCACCACATGCATCCTCAACAAAATTTGATGCCAATAAACTTCATACTATACATTGAAGCCTTAGAAACCAAATCTCTGCAACAAACTCTTAGATGATGATATCATGATTTTCGTGAAGATGTCACAAGGCCCAAGTGCGACTTTCTCTAATAGCAAGAAGTGACTAGGACGACCCTCTAGACCACCACTTGATGCCAACCCCTCATACACCATCATCATAAGCCCATTATGATGCCCTAACAAAAAGAAATAATTTTTTTTTTAAAATTTTATGTTTTAGTCAACAAAATATCAAAAAATAAACTCCTAAATTTATGCACAATAAAAAATAACTAAAAAATATTTTAAATAAAAATTTATAATAATTTACTAATTAATAATAAGTAGAAAGAAGGAAAAAATAAATTAACTATAGTGAGTAGAGTAGCTCTTTTTTGACTAACTGGAAGCGAAAAATTGTAAACTGTCTGAACTAAACTTGTGAGTTGAAGATAAAATTTTCTCTTTTAATCGATAGGCTATGAATCCTTTTACGTGAGATAGCTCCTTTTTTGTGTGATGTAGTTTAGTTATTATTTTTTATATTATTGTATTAATATTCCTTCAAATGAGTTGAGTTACATTCAATTCAAAATACACTAAAAAATGGGTGTGTTTAAGCATGCAACTCATTTTTTTATTTGTATTTTTTCCATTAACTTGTTGAGCCCAATATGAGATACTCGAAAATATTGTCTAATATTCTTTCATTGCATAAAACTACTAATCATTAGATTCATCTCAAGGCTCTTCAAATTACATTTCTCGTTACTCAATACATGTTATCAATGAACATAAAAAAAAAATCAACATCTTATTTTGCAATCTTATTGTCAATCTTATTGTTGAAAATGTACTTTCAATTGTCGCAAGCTAAATAAGTGGGGTAAAGATGAATTGTCCTTTTTTTCCACATTGATTATAGATTGTAAATTATGAATTGATTTTGAAAGGGAAATCAAAACTTTGATAAGCTTCAATTTTAAAATGATTCAGCTGAAATTTTAAATTTGGTTTTGTTTTATCTATTAAGTCTATAAGAAAATTATTGGAATTCACCTTAAGAACCCATGATTTAACTTAGAATGAATAGTTCTAAAACTTATTCATTAAATCTATTGCTCATTCTTGCAACTATGTTTTTGAAGTGGTTATGAAATTATGATGCTTATAATTATAATTCATTGTATGGATATCTTTCCATTGACAAGAGCATCATTGACCAAATAAATAAATATCATTCATATTTGCAATAAATACAACTTACATTCATATTGATATCATTCATATTTGCAATAAATACAACTTACATTTCACAAAATAACTAATTTTTTTAGTAAAGAATCTCATCATGTACTTTTAATATAAGAATATTGAATATTGATAATTAAAAAAATGGCATTCAAGTTGGTTTGTCATTTTCTTTGAGAATTTGTAATTTATGAAATCTTGGTCATAAGATGTAAATTAAAAATAAAGTCAAAAGAATTTATTACATCATAAATTACATTAGCTTCATCTCTTCAATTTGATAAGTTTACATCATAAATAATTTCTTGTGAAACAACACAAGTAAAATCATGCAAGATAACTAAACTATAGAATTAAAAAATGTGACCTCTAACAAGTTTCTAGGCGTTTATAATCATTTTCTTAATTTATTTGATTTGAGTAATTATTTATTGAACATGTCTTGCATAAAAAGACAAAAAATT